AATCTCAGCTTTTTTTTTTTTTTTTTTTTTTTTTGAGACAGGGTCTTTCTAATTTGCTAGGGCCTCACTAAATTGACAAGGCTGATCTTGAATTTGCGATTCTCCTGCCTCAGTCTCTCCAATTGCTCAGATTATAAACAGGGATTACATGGAAAACATGCCCTGCTGGTTTTCTTTCAGTACCAGGGATTGAACCCAGGGGTGCTCAATCACTGAGCCACATCCCCAGCCCTTGTTAATTTATATTCGAGACAGGGTCTCACTAACTTGCTCAGGGCCTCATAAAGTTTCTGAGGCTGACTCTGAACTTGTGATTCTCCTGCCTCAGCCCCCAAGCAGTTGGGATTACAGGAGTATGTTACCATTCCCCACTACCCAGTGAAGTGGTTTTTTGGTTTGTCTGCTTTTTGTGGTGCTGGGATTTGAACCCAGGGTCTTGTGCATGTGAGGCAAGCACTCTACCAACTGAGCTATATCCTGGCCCTAGTTTTGTTTTTAATTTCTGGGATGGACCTGGTGCATGCGAGGCACGTGCTCTACCACAGAACTACATCCCCAGCTATTTTATAATTCTTCATTATGTACCTAAAGACAAGGGACATGCCTTATTTACTTTTGTATCCCCAGCTTAATAACTTGAGTGTTGAATGAATGACGATCATTTATAATTATACTTCTCTCCCAAATAAGTAGGCTACTTCACCACAATTAGTTTTATCAATGTTCTGGAAAGCTAAACATGTTGTAATTCTTAAAAAAAAAAAAAAAAAAACTCTGGGGCATGTCAGAAAGGAAGAAGGGGAGAATATCAGATAAGTCAACTAGCAATGTTTGTCACACCTGAGAGATTGCTAAACTCTAATTATATGCCAGTGATACCTGTGAAGACTAGGTATCATTATGATTACACAAAAATTATTGATTATGGTGGGACGAACTGATGGTAGAAGGAACAATATGAAAGATTATGGCAAAGGGAACAGGAGAGGAAAGAAGGAAGGTATAAATTTGCCATTAAGCTTAAAGGGGAAAAGATTATTATCCTTAGGTTAGAGGAAGAGAACAGGTTACTCCAGTAGTTCTGGAAATTTACATTAACAGAAAGTCTCTCAAAGCATGAGTTTATATGGGACCTAAAAAAGAAAAAGAAGCCAGGTGCAATGATACAGGCTTATAACCTCAGCTACTCAAGAGGCGGAGATAGGTACAGTGGTAGTCCTGAAGTGCGACTCAGGAGATTGAGCGAGACATATCCCTTGAGCCCAGTTGAAGTCAGCCTGGGCAACATAATGAGTCCCCCCTCAAAGCGGGGAAAAATTCCCTGAGGACAGGACCTCCAAGAGATCATATTGGTTCTTGTCTCTGCTGCACAAACCCTTTCGCCTACTGGTGAGAGTAATGATTCTCTAAGAATCTACAAGGTAGCCACCCATTTACCTTGTGTAATACAGATAACTATCTTATCATAATGTCACATTCTATCATCATCTTAGTCATTAAGTCCTATGGACTCTGCCTCCACAGAGTTTAAACTGACCTTCTTTAATTCTACTTTACTATCACTCAGTATATTTTTTTTCTTCTGTACTTGGGATTGAGCCAAGGGCACTGTACCACTGAGCTATATCCTCAGCCCTTTGTATTTTTATTTTGAGAAAGGGTCTCAATAAGTTGCCCAGGCTGGCCTCCCACTTGTGATCCTCCTGCCCCAGCCTCCCAAGTTGCTGAAATTGCAGGATGTGCCCATGCCTGGCTTACCATTATTTCTTGGCTGTCATGTTGCAGTGGCCTCCTACTTTATTTCTTTGCCTCTAATCCTTTCTCTCTTAATCTATTCTAATACAATTAATGAAGTTAAATCATAGCAAACATCATGGTATCCTAGTGGGATTACAGGCCAGCTGGGATTACAGTCCTGTGCCACCACACCCTGCTTAACCATATTTTAAAGACTATGAACCTTGTTTACCTATTCTGCTTATGCCCAAATACCTCTTTGACTTTCAAACCCTTCAGTAATATGGCCCCATCCCACTTTTCTAACCTTTACATATACCTTGTTATTAACATTTCAATTTATCCATTCAACAGTGGAGCATCTGCCATGAGCCAGGCATAAGTAGGGTTACAAAAGGAAGCAGGGTGAGTGTTCTCATCAAGTGGATAGCATCAAGAAATTAATAAACCTAAAGAGTAGACAGTGGGGAAGAAGGAAAAACTAGGAGTATATGGTACTCTAGAAGGTACATGAATAAAGTGTTCCAAATGCACTAATCAATCACATCAAAGACTGCTTGAAGTCAGGTAAAAGGAAGGTTGCAAAAGATCACTGAGACCAGTGATAATATCTACAAGAATGGTTTCTTTGGAGTGGTAGGAATGAAAAGTTAACTGAACTGGGCTCAAGGGAGAAAATGAGTTTAGGAGGTTGAAGTTTTTGCTATACAAGGAAGCATCAAAGTTGGGCCTGGTGGTGCATGCCTAAAATTCCAGCAGCTTGGGAGGCTGAAGTAGGAGTTCAAAGCCAGCCTCAGCAATTTAATGAGGCACTTGCAACTCAGTGAGACCCTGTCTCTAAATAAAATATAAAAAAAGGGCTGGGGATGTGGCTCAGTGGTTAAGTGTAATACAGATAATATCTTATCCTGAGTTCAGTTCCCAGTACAAAGAAAAAAAAAAAAAAAAAGGAAGCTCAAGCTGGATGTGGTAGAATCTAGAGTCTACTCAGAAGTTTGAGGTGGGAGGGAGACTTGAGTCAAGAATTCAAGAAAAGCCTGCACAATATGAAATCCTGTAACAAAATAAAACAGTATTAAAGAATTTTGGTTAAGCTTGTGAGAAAGAATATTAAGTTTATATTCTGATGAAAATGTTTCCATAATAAACAGGAATAAATGGATGATGTGTGAATATAAAGGGATAACTGTGAGTACGTCAGTAGGCAAAGGAGATGGGATTCAACGCACACATGAAGAGGCTGATCTTAGCAGAGGTTTATTCATTTTAACCACAGGAAAGGCAGACAGGATGGGAACAACAGCAGTAAATTAGTAGATTTAGTGAAGGGAAATGAAGTTTTCTCTTCTGATTGCTTCAGCTTTCTGTGAAGAAGGGAGGAAGAAATATTGGCAGTTTGATAGGAGATTCCAAGAGACATTTAGGAACATAGAAGAGTAAACTAACGAACTGCAGTACAATTGGTGGACTCGTGATTTCTTGGTTTATAAAGTGAAACTTGCATTTCTTTTACAGCCTCTGAGAAAGGAAAAGCCATTGCTTTTGCTATTTCCTCAATTTCCTTGCACTTCACTACCTGATAAAATAATATTTTGGGTTGGGCTTGGTGGCACATGCCTATAATCCCAGCGACTCTGGAGGCTGAGGCAGGAAGATTTCAAGTTCAAGATCAGCTAGGGGCCCGAGCTGTGGCTCAGTGACAGTGCGCTTGCCTAGCATATGGGAGGCACTGGGTTTGATCCTCAGCACCACATAAAGATTAAAATAATTTTAAAAGAAAAAAACCAGCTGGGATGACAGTCCTGTTCCTCACACCCTGCTAAACCATATTTCAATGACTATGAACCTTGTTTAACCTATCCTGCTTATGTTCCTCAAGTACCTTATTCTCAAATTTTAGCTATTATTATTTTTAGAGATCTTTTAACCTTCAATTGAAGTTGACATACATGGCATATAACATAAGATTCTTGTTCTCTCCCTAAAGTTAACGTGCCTTATTACCAATACAAAAAATAAAGAGCTCGCTCAGAAGAGGTGCTGATTCAGTAAGGCTTATTTGTAAATGGCAGTAGAGTGTGGAAGAGAGATGAGGGAAGGGAAAGTAGGGAGACAGGAAAAAAGTGGAGGATCACTTCTGCATAGTCCACTTTATATGTAAAAGGTTCTTTATGGAAGTCCATGGACTATTCCGATTTCCAAACATGGCTGGACTGAGAGCAGCTGAGAATGTGCAAAATGGTTACAGGTTCCCAACACTGCCCTTTTATTTAACCCACATAAGACTTGCTCCTCATCCCATTTTTCCTCAACCTCCGAGGTGGCACTCGCCTGTAGTCAACAGGCCCAGGGGGCTGAGGCAAAAGGATCACAGGTTCGAGGCCAGCCTCAGCAACTTAGTGAGGCTGTAAGCAACCTAGTAGGACCCGGTCTCTAAACTTATTAAAAAAAAAAAAATTAACAAAACACGGGCTGTGGATGTGTTCAATCCCTGGTACAAAAAAAAAAAAAATTGAGGCTTATTTGTGGCTCAACGCTAGAGCGCTCTTCTAGCATGTATGAGGCCCTAGGTTCAAATCCTCAGCACCACATAAAAATAAATAAAATAAAGGTACTGTATCCATCTACGACATGTAGAAAAGGCTGGGGTTGTGGCTCAGTGGTAGAGTGCTTGCCTGGCATGCACGAAGCACTGGGTTCGATCCTCGGCACCACATATATGTAAAATGAAGATACTGTGTCCACCTAAAACTTAAGAATAAATATTAAAAAAAAAAAAAAGAAAGAAAACTGGCACAAGCCGGGCAAGATGACGCACGCCTATGATCCCAGCGCCTCGGGAGGCTGAAACAGGATGGCAAGTTCCAAGATATCCTGGTCTCCTGAACTTTAGGAGACCCTGTCTCAAAAACTTCAACCGAGCGCCGCTGAGTAGAACCCCCAGTAGCCGAGAGGAAAAACAGACAAAACCTCTGGCACACAAAAACGGGGGCTCGCGAGTCAGCGCGTGGACGGAGGCGGCACCTGATCACGTCCAAGACCGCACCAGGCGGTGCCAAGGCGCTCGAGCCCGAGAGCGCGGAACCGCCGTTACGTAACCGGCAGCCGGAGGCCTGGAGAACGGAAGTCGCCGCCCCGGCCCCGCCCCGGCCCCGCCCCGGCCGGTAAGAGCCATGCGCAACTCTCCGGAAGCTTCCGCCCCTATTCCCCTTTTATGGTTTTTCGGTTTTTTTCTGACGCCAGCGCGTAGGACCGGCTCTAAAACCGTGATCTAGGAGCGCCTCTCCCACTCCTTACTTCCGCCTCCTTCGAGAGAGGAGTCGAGGCGTCCGTAGTCTTCTCGCACGGACTGGAAACTGTGGTGGCGGCGTGCGATGTTCGGCCTTAAGAGGAACGCGGTCATCGGACTCAACCTCTACTGCGGGGGCGCCGGGCTGGGGGCCAGCGGCGGCGCCACCCCGCCGGGAGCGCAGCTCTTGGCCGCCGAGAAGGAGGCCGCGGCCCGGCGAGAGGCAGGGGGAGGGGAAGCCGGCGCGCTCTCGGGCGGAAGCTCCCCAGCCGCCCAGGCGCAGGACGCCCGAAGGGTCGCGCGGCCGGTGCCCATTGGCGCCGAGGTCCCCGACGTCACCGCGACCCCGGCGAGGCGACTCTTCCTCGCGCCCTCCTACTGCGTGTCGCCGCCTGAGAAGATGGAAGCCCCCGCCGCCGCCATGTCGCCCGAAGAGGAGCTGGACGGCTACGAGCCCGAGCCCCTCGGGAAGCGGCCGGCGGTCCTGCCCTTGCTGGAGCTGGTTGGGGAGGCCGCCAAGAGCCCCGGCGCGGACGGGTCGCTGCCCTCGACGCCGCCGCCCGCGGAGGAGGAGGAGGACGAGCTGTACCGGCAGTCGCTGGAGATCATCTCGCGGTACCTCCGCGAGCAGGCGACCGGCGCCAAGGACGCGAAGCCGCTGCACGGGTCGGGGGCCGCCAGCAGGAAGGCGCTGGAGACCCTGCGGCGGGTCGGCGACGGAGTGCAGCGCAACCACGAGACGGCCTTCCAAGGTAAGGCGGCGCCCGCCGGCCGGACGGGCGGGCCGGGCCCGGTGCTTTTGGAAGTGCAGTCCTGTCCAGAGACGCGGAAGGGGGGATGGCAGTCGAGTGGGGCCGCCCCAGCTCGGTAGCGTCAGGGTAGAGCGACCTCCCCGCCGCGGGTGGGCAGGCGACCGCGGCCCGGCCGAGACAAAGGGGCCACGAGGACGTGCGTGCTTTTCTCCCCAGGCATGCTTCGGAAGCTGGACATCAAAAACGAGGATGATGTCAAGTCTCTGTCTCGCGTGATGGTCCATGTTTTCAGTGACGGAGTAACAAACTGGGGCAGGATTGTGACTCTCATTTCTTTTGGTGCCTTTGTGGCCAAACACTTGAAGAGCATAAACCAAGAAAGCTGCATTGAACCCTTAGCAGAAAGTATCACAGACGTGCTCGTAAGGACAAAACGGGACTGGCTGGTCAAACAAAGAGGCTGGGTAAGTGAGGGCCAGGCCTGCCGCGGCGGCGACTAACTCCGGGCTCCCCGGCGCGGGCTGGACCCGCCTGCCGGGCGCTGGTGAAGTAGGGGTTTGTAGGGAGAGTGTGTGGCCGTCCTGAATTGTATCAGAGGTCCTGGTTTTCTGTAGGTTATTGTAATTCAGTCGGATAATCGTCAGACCGGTGGACTCAAACCCTGAAGAAATAAAAGTCCCCTGGGTATAGTCATTAAGATACATTCCTAGGAGGCCCCTTACTGGATGGGACCTGTGTTTTCAGCATACCACCCAGATGGTTCTGATGCAGAAGGTACTTAACCACAGTGAGAAATACCGATCTACACATTTAAGCACTTATGTGGTGGGGGTTTGAGGTAGTAATTTTTGGCGTGGGGTGGTCTTTTTATAGGTTGTCATAATATGACCAATAGTACAGTAAAGTGACATTTAACTGTTATGGGTGCCCATTTACTGAAGGACTCAAAATGTCTCTTTTGCAGCCCAGAGATGAATAGTAATTGGTTCATCACTGCTTTGGTGGGGGTGCCTTATTAGACATTAAAACTCATCTTTTCTGTGTATATGGTGTTTTTAAGAGGGCAGAAACCCATACTTGAAAATGGTCTTTTCTTTTTTGTTTTCTAGGATGGGTTTGTGGAGTTCTTCCATGTAGAGGACCTAGAAGGCGGCATCAGAAATGTGCTGCTGGCTTTTGCAGGTGTTGCTGGCGTAGGAGCTGGTTTGGCGTATCTAATAAGATAGCCTTGTAAGTGCAATAGTTGACTGTTAACCAACTCCAGCCACCAAAACTTCTGGGAAATCAAATGTATTTATGGAAGTTGGACTTCAAGCTGCCCAGGCTGTAACCTCCAAGAGTGTCACTCTAGCAACCTAGCCAGAAAGCAAGTGGCAAGAGGATTATGTCTAACAAGAATAAATACATGAGAAAAGTAGTCCCCTTTGAAGAATTCACTGTATGAAAGAAGCAAAGTTCACTTTCAGCACCAAGCAAACTGGGAGGCCACAGAGGAGGACTGTTAGATTTAGTGGAAAAACTTAATTTCCTTGTCTAGAACCAGAAGAGAGGTCAGTAGCCAGACTAGTCATAAAATTCATTAAATATGCCCGCCAAATTCATTAATTTCCCATAGTGTGAAAAGAAAAGTACTAGCGATGCCAGTGATCCTATAAAGAAAAATTTAAGCTACAAGTAATTGAGCTATGACTAGAAGCCTCATTACTGTGCAACAGTGAAGGGAAGCTTTTCCTCTGTGATTAGCTTTCCCGGGTATATTTTCTTGAATAGAAGATCCAAGTGTTCAGGACTTTTATGCCTGTTCTACTTTGGCTTGATTTGAATGAGTCTCATTAGCATAGTAATGGCCATGAATACTTGACTTAAGGTTCATTTAGTTACAAATGTGGAATATTCTCATTTTTTTTTTTAGGACAGAAACAGCTTGTAAATGTATTTGTCTGTAAAAATGTGTATATTTTTACAGAGAAAATATTTCTGCGAACATAAAGGGAGAAAAGTCTTGAATTTAAATTTTGAAAATTGTAACTTCTGTAGTTAGGAATCTATTTCTTCTTACAGCTTTTCTATTCTAAACTTTCTCCAGTTCAGTTCTAGAGTATATACAGAACCAATTTGTAATTGTATGCAACCTGGTTGTAGTGGGACAAATCTGATTTATAACTATGCAGGCTTTAATTTTCCAATCTGGTATTGGTAAGTATTCCTTAGATAGGTTTTTATTTGAAAACCTGGGATTAAGAAGTTGTGGAATGAAAATTAATCCTTTCATTTGGTTATGTATGGGTTTTCAATAATTGAGTCTAAGTGGAGTTTTGAGAGGTTGTTTTTAGGGGTGGGGGGAGTAGGCTAGTGACTTAAAAATAATGGGCTCTGATTAGGCAACTAATCATTTGAGTTCCTTACATTTGACCTAATTTAACTGGTAAAATTTAGACTGAGTGAATGAGCTCATCTTTAAAGCTTTTACTGAAAGATTTTCAGCTGTTCCAAGTGGGACTTGTTAGCATTGTTTATAAAAAGATAACATCAGGTGGATGAAAGACATTTGATCCCTTGTTTGCCTAATAAGTTGTAAAATGATGGCTTGGAAAAGCAGGCTAGAGTCTTAACTATGGTGCTATTATGGGGCTTGCTTGTTCAAACACAGGTTTAAGCCTCATACATCAATAAAAGAAATACTGATTCTTTTCTATTAATGATTCCCAAGCTTTGTTTTGAATTTTTCCATTGTCATCTCTGTTGATTTCAAACCTGATGTTGTATTGAACACATTTACTTCCTCTCCTTTGTTGAAATATATGCTGCTTGTTCTGCTCCCTCTTCAGATATTTATATCAATGTCTACATCTTTACCCTGCCATCCCTGAATTTTACTAGACCTGTTAATTTTCAGCACTATGCACCTGAGTGACCCCTTTCCTCCCTAATGCCCCCCCTTCCCCCAAGAGTCAGCAGATCTTCATCTTTTATGGATTTTATCCTGTTGAGAGGTAGTGATGGGTGCTGGAACAATAAGTCAATGGTGGTGGGAGGAAGTCTCTTTTTCTTGGATTGATAACTTTTCAGTTGCTTTAAACCTGTTCTGTGGGGAAAAAGGTTTCAAAAGTCCTTTTAAGAATTTTCAGGAGAACATCATTTTACATTGGCTTTCTGAAGTCCCCTTTGTATATGAGTAAGCTCACTTGAATTTTACCTAAAGAAGTGAGCTGTGTTAAAACAACCTCAAAGAGTCTTTATAAAAGCTAGTGGTAAACTGAAGAAAGCTGTTGTAACAAGAGTCATTTGAAAGCTTCAGCTCCAAAACATGACCTTTAGTCTGTGGACTCCAGATAAAAATAGGTATGAATAAAATGACTAAGAATGTAATGGGGAAGAATTGCCTTGCCTGCCCATCTCCAGAGCCATAAGGTCATCTTGCTAGAGCTATTTTTACCTATGTATTTATCGTTCTTGATCATAAGCCAATTATTTATATCATGTCTGTCTCTAAGGACCTAAAAGCACTTTATGTAGTTTTTAATTAATCTTAAGATCTGGTTTAGGTGACTAAAAGGACTGTCTCCCCATATCCAGTTGTGGAAATAAGGCATAGACATAAATTGGTGTTTAGAAGCACCACTTCCCAATTCACTAGGCGTGACTGCTGAAACATACGTAGACTGGATGTTAGTTGGTATTTGGGGTCCAGAACACTGAGGGGTTAGGGAGCCCAAATGGTTTGGGAAGAGGGGGAACAATTGGTTTATAGGGAGAAGAGGCACGTGGTCCAAGTGCTGACTAGCTGCATAGTTCCGGCAAATCCTCCAGAATGGAAAAGGGAGGAGCTGCTTGAAATGGCTTTCTCAGCGACTTCTGTTTGTTTTCTGCTTCTCTCAGGGAAAAACATGCAGTCCTCTAGTGGTGTCCATGTACATTCTATGGGGTGAACACTTTGGTTCTGGTTAAACAGCTAGTGTTTTTGACAGCTGTTCCAGGAAGAATTGGGACCAACTACAAATCAATGTGGGTTGTAAAATGTAGTGTTTCCCTAACTTGTTTTTTTTTTCCTGAGAAAATAAAAAAATCATTTTTTTTTCCCAAATATAAGGTGTGATATGGGTCTTTTCTATTGACACTTTTCTTCCCCCTCTTAGGCAAGCCTTGTTAGGGAAGTCAGCTGAGCAAATATGCATAGGTTAATTAAGAGCAAAGAGTTTCATTTAAATTAGAGGTGTTGGGTGTTTTTTTTTTTTTTTTTTTTTCTCTCCAAACACAGGTTTATTTAGGAAAGAAAGATACATATTCAATGGAGCATAGGGGCAATCTTAAGAGTCTTTTGGGGTAAAGCAAGGAATGTGGATGTTGAATGCTGGCTACCTCCAGAGGGAGAGAGAGTTAAGGTGTTGGTTCTTTAATAAAATGTATTACTACTGCACTTTGGAGTGATTCTAGTACTTCAGTTACAATACATTTAATACAAAAGTCAAAATCCCTGTCCAGATTTTTGAGTCACCAAGTATATTTCTGAGGTGAGGGTTTGCTTAAAGTTGTTGTTTCATGGGGCTGGGGTGGTGGCTCAGTAAGTAGTAGGGAGCTTGCCTAGCATGTGAGAGGCACTAGGTTGGATCCCTGAAACCATATTTTAAAAATAAAGTTATTGTGTCCATCTACATCTAAAATAAATAAATAAAAAGCTGTTGTTTCATGTTCCCTCTTAACTTTTTGAAATGAAACTAGAAGAATAAGTTTTGAGGAAGTTCTTGGTACTGTTAAGTGCTTTTCCCCCTTCATCTCCCAAAAAAGGAGATGATGATGATAGTCAATTTCAAAAACTTGAGCAAGCCCTTAAGCCCTTATTTTCAACTATCTTGAAAGGGAGCTGAATCACCATGGAAATGTGCAAATGAGAGGTTTGCATGCTGATTTTCAGCCCTGAGCACAAAATGCTAATCAAACAAAGATTCATTTTCCTATTTAGTTGTGTATTTAACATCCCTTTTGATCCAAAAGCACCCTTCTAGAGCTTCATTACCAGAAGGCAATAATTTTCTATTATAAAGCTGCTTTCTACAAATGACCCTCCCAAGCATAGAGGTGTGATGGGAGAAAAGTACCCACTTAAGGACAGATAGGAGGCTCCAAATCTTGGCCTGGGTCAAGTTCTGCCCAGTGCTCTTGCTCCCACTTGCATTGTTATACGAATATCGGTAGCAAAAGTCTTACAAGTTTTACACCTTACAGAACTTTTTTTTCCCTGGGGGGGAGGGGTACTGAGCTGCATCTCCATCCCTATTTTGTAGTCTCAGAGTTGCTGGGTGCCTCACAGTTGCTGAGCCTGACTTTTGAACTCAGATCCTCCTGCCTCAGCCTCCTGAGCAACTGGGATTACAGGCATGCAGTGTGCACAGCACCTTAAAAACTGATCAGATAGTAACTAGGTAACCTGAATCATTAGAGGAGTCAGTAGTCAACACTTCCCTTTATTTGATACCACCAAACTTTCAGTTCCTGTTTTGTGATTTTTAGGGGCATGTCTTCATTTATGTTGTTTCCTTTCAAAAAACTTCTCTTAGACTGGGGCTGGGGCTCAGTGGTAGAGCGCTTGCGTAGCACATGTGAGGCACTGGGTTCAATTCTCATTGCCACATATAAATAAAGGTCCATGAACAACTAAAAAAAATTTTAAAAATATTTTTTAGTTGTAGTTTGACACAATACCTTTATTTATTTTTATGTGGTGCTGAGGATGGAACCCAGTGCCTCATACGTGCTAGGCAAGTGCTCTACCCTGAGCCACAATCCCAGCCCCTAAATATATATATATATATATATATATATATATATATATATATATATATATACACACACACACACACACACACACAAATTTTTCTCTTGGGTCTGGAGTTGTTGCTCAGTGATAGGGTGTAGACTAAGCATTTGCCTTCAATCTCTGGGTCCCAAAGGGGGAAGATGTTTTCTTTAAAATAATTGTGACAGGTAAAGAATTTTACAAAAATTAAAGTGAAATAACTTGTATAGCTAGTGTGTAGCATAGTTCCAGTCAGATGCCCAAAGCTCAGGCCATTTTATTCCTGGAATTCAAGAGGATCAGCTGAATATTCTAGTACTTTTTTTTTTTTTTGCTTGATTTATCCAGTGATTTTAGAAATTAGTGTTTGTATCATGCCTTCAGAAGTGTGTGGGTGGGTGGGTGGGGGGTATACCATGGATTTAACCCAGGGCTACCACTGAGCTACAATTCCTAACTCCCCCCCCCCCCGCCCCCCCAATACAGTTTCACTAAATTTCTGAGGCTGGCCTCAAAAAAATTTGCTATCCTCCTGCCTCAGCCCTCAAAGTTGCAGTAATTGCAGGCATGTAATCCACAGCATAATCCATTTAGTCTTTGGAATTTTCCCACACTCTGTTCAAAGGCCTTAGTTTCAAGATTTGAAAATTTAATTGTGTCCCTCTTAGTTGCAAAGTTGTTACAATGTTTTATTTCAGTGCTCTGGATCCAGTACCAGGCCTGAGGCATGTTAGGGGAGGGCTCTACTGCTGGGCTACCTCCCCAGCCCATATTATGTGAAGCATGTGCAAAGATCTGGGCTGGGAACCTGCATCTAGGCTGATGTATCAAACACCTCTTAGAATCAGATTTGATTATTTTTTGGTTTGCTGTGTTCATCAGGCTGACCATAAACACCTGGGCTCAAGTGACCACTCCTGCTTCAGCCACCTGGCAAGCATACTTCCATGCCAGGTCAGAACTGCTCCCCACCCCCATCCCCCTTGGTCCTGGGATTGAACTCAGGGGTATTTTACCACTGAACTATAGTCCTTGTCCTTTTTATTTTTAAAATTTAAATATTTTTTTTCACATTTTTCATAGTTGTAAGTAATGATCAGATTTGTTTCTATATATTTGTACAGTCACAATTTATTTTGAGGCAGGGTCTTGCTAAGTTGCTGCTGCTAAATTGAGGGAAACAAGTTTTTGAGTATGGATTTGGGAATACTCTAATCTCTGCAGAACAACTTTGATGTGGGACAGCCCCTGGAAGTTAGTTAACTGGACCCCCAAAATGCTGAATGGTAGCTGCTACTTTCCCCAATTTTGTTCCCGTGGGAGACTTGGTTATTGCTCTTCCCACCCTGATTCAAAAAACCAGTTTGCTCTGGCCGCCCAGACTTCCCCACAAGCTGCATTCCTGCCCATGAGCTCATTGTTTTGGCTTCTTTGCTTGTATATATCCACAGCCAGTGCCAGAGGTCTCAGCCCAGGGCCCCCAAACTGGCTGAGGCTGCATTCCATTCAGAATTTCACCACCCCCACTTGGTATTCTTCCCGCCCTCATGTGGTCACATGTGTATGTTTATTCAAGTTAGCAGGGGACAAGGTGTGCTGGGAAAGAGAGCCAAGGAAGCAGACAAGGAGAAAAAAAAACATTTAACTGTTAGGTTTCACCTTAGGTTAATTTTCCACTTTATTATTAATCTTTTTTTTTTTTTTTTTTTTTTGAAAGAGTCATAGAGAAAGAGAGAGAGAGAGAGAGAATTTTTTAATATTTTTAGTTTTTGGCGTACACAACATCTTTGTATGTGGTGCTGAGGATCGAACCGGGCCGCCCGCATGCCAGGCGAGCGCGCTACCGCTTGAGCCACATCCCCAGCCCTCCACTTTATTATTATTATTATTATTATTAAATATTTC